TTCCCCCGGCCAACCGCCGGCAGAGCCGCGCTCGTTCTGCTGCAGCCGCCTGCCTCCAGAGCTCCCGCCGAGGAACAGATTGGAGGCCTGGACGTTGGCACCAACACCAGCACAAGAGGCTGCCTCCACATGGGGAAACTGACCCTAGATCTCGGTGCTGGTGGTAGTATGTCGGTCACCCTGGAGGCCAAAATATGACCCCCATCACCGAGATTTGGGATCGTCCTCCCTCGGTGGAGGCACACCGCCGATCTTGGTGTTGGTGTCAACCTCTAGGCCTGCGAGAAGACGCCAGCTCCTTCGGCCTTCGAGGCCGAGGCCCTCCCTGGAACGCCCCGGCTCATCTCCGTCTTAGGCCTCAGGACAGCCCGCGAAGGTGAGCCAGGCTACGGTCACGAGCTCTTGCTCAGCGTACAGTCATCGGCCTGACCTCAGGAACGATGAATAAGGAACGAAGCCCCTTTTTATCCCAAGGAATAACGCATAAGGAACGATAAACAATAGATAACGCATAAGGAACTGTAAATAACGCACGCAAGCCTAAGGAACGACCGAGCCCCTTTTGAAAAGCAAGTGTTCCTTATTCAAGCCGCTCACTGTATCGCTGCGTCCGCCCCGCCGACACGCTGTGCCTCGCGAGCGGATAGCGTGCCGTCGCTCCGCTCCGCGGGGCGGGAGGCTCGGAAAGGCTCGGGGCACGGAAGCCCGAGGACTGCGGAGTAGATCGCTCAGAGCCCCGAATCATCCGGGGTAACTCGGGTCAGGGTTAACTCGGTATCGTTTTTCGGGAATCCGAACCCGAGTTACCCCGGACCCGAGTTACCCCGGATAACTCGGGCGCCCAGAGCCCCACATCATCAGGGGTAACTCGGGTCAGGGCTAACTCGGGTTCCTTTTTCGGGAATCCAAACCCGAGTTACCCCGGACCCGAGTTACCCCGGATAACTCGGGCGCCCAAATCGCGCGTCGCGCCGAAGCATGGTGGGCCACAACCGGCGGAGCGACACGCTAAGCCATAACTCCTGACCGTCATGTAGGAGGGCGCCAAGTGGCAGTGGTTCAGAGATGGGGTCCTGAGGGATGGGGCCCTGAGGACGAGGTGCCTCAGACAGTATAGATCCATTCTTGAATCCCTTCCTACTCTTAGCACCCTCAGGAACCCATCTGTGAACCACAGAAATCGAAGAAGAAAAAACGGCATAAAAATAAACTGTTGACGCTCCGCGCGGGTCTCTTGGATCTGCGCTGGGCCCCCCTCCCTGGCGCGCGGAGCGCCCCAGGGGCGGCGCCGGAGGCGCCGCTGGGGGGGGGGGGAGCACAGCGCGGATCCCAGAAATCCGCGCGGAGCGCCAAAAGTTTATGCTTATGCCGTTGGTTCTTCTTCGGAGGACCCCGTCTGTGAGCCACCGAAAGCATACAGCTGCACCGATCCTGGGCAGGCCCATCCTGGGCCCGGCATCGGCGTGCACGCCCTCCTGGCTCGGGCGCACACGCGCCGCTCCCGGCCCCAGGCTCGGCCTTGGCCAAGGTCGGGCTACCGATGCATTGCTGGTGCGCTCTGGCACGGGGTGGCGGGGGGGGGGCAACAAGCAGGCCCTCTCATGCAGCCGTCGGTCCTCCCCCCCTTAGACGTCTCAGTGGACGAACTAAACCGAACCAGTACTGCCATTCTAAGCCCTCTCACCCGAGCTCAAAAATGTGGGAAGCTCCCCGACAGCGCGAAGCGGCAGCCCTCGATCCGCCCCCCCGATTGTTTTACAGGGGTCCACGGACACACACACACACACACACAAATAAATACACACACATAAAAAAATCCCATATTTTCCCATATTGTCTGGGTTTTGTCTTCCCCCCTACTTCCCATATTTTCCTGGGGATCGTCGATTAATTGTGTCTGTGTGTTTTTTCCCTCCTGACGTTGGCCGGGGGGACGCGGGTCCTGAGGGAAACGGGTCTTGGACCCCGGGGCCTTCCCCCAGGACGAGTTCTTCCTCCTGAGCCGTGATCTGACATTCCCGGGACCCGTGGAGGGCCCCGACGAGAGCCCGAGAAGGGTGACAGACCTCAGGACCCGCTTCCCTCCGGACCCGCTTCGCCCCCACGGCGATCGGTCCGCCCCCCCGATCTGTATCGCCCACCCGGCGCCCAGAAGGCCGGAAGCCCGACCATGGCTCAGTCGGGCCGCTGAAAGAAAGAACGCCAAACAAGGAACGAAGCCCCTTCTTGACACCAGGAGCGCCTGCGTGCACGAGGAGGGCTAGAGGAACAGCTACGGAAGAACCGAAGGAACCTCGAGCCCCTTCCGAACCCAAACTGTTCCATATTTCAGCGACTTACTGTAGGATAGCAAATGGCAGGATAGAGAATCGACTCGCGTAGCTGGTTTTCCCTGCGCCTCTGGGCGCCAGGAGGCGCCGATGTATTGAGGAATGGACCCAGCGGCGTCGGCGCGCATGAAGGTTTTTGACACTGCGTCGATCGTTCAACCTTGAATCGATCGCGGCCCCGATCGTTCGAGGTTGAATTCCGTCAAGTCCGGCGGCGCTGCCCTGTCCCTCGGCGGTTCCGCGTCGCAGAGTTCAACCTTGAACGCGCTCGCCAGCGTCGCCAGCGTGCCAACAACGCATGAACCTACCGCACAAACATCGTGCTGCCATTTGGACGCCCGAAACGGGTACGGAAATGATGGGTACAATGCCCAACAGCAAATGTTGCCCCAAACCAACAGCGGCCGCTGTTGGGCAGGCGGCCTTCTGTCTCAAGTGGACACAGGCCGCGGCGGCGCGGACAGCGAATTCTGTTCACAATGAACGGGAACTGCTGCTGGGCATTGCACCCATTCTTTCTGTACCCATATCGTGCGTGCCGATGCCCCGAGGAGCGCTGCCAAAGAAGCCGCGAAGGGACCGCCCTCCTGGCCCCGGGCCCCGGCGAGCCTCGCCCCGTGGCGCTGGGGGCCTGCAGCCCCCCGTGCTGCCGGGAATGAGCGCCGCTGCATCGGCAGCGAAGGGGCCTTCCTGGCCTCGGCGAGCCTCGCCTCGAAGAGGCTCCCCGGCCAAGGCCGGAGCCCCCCTCCTGAGCCGCAGGTGGTCCTCATCTCGGCGCCCTGACTCCTCCTCCTCCTGCTCCTCCTCCTCCTCCTCCTCCTCCCTTCTCCTCTCTCCTCCCTCCTCCCTCCTCCTCCTCCCTCCTCCTCTCTCCGGAGCCGCAGGTGGTCCTCTTCTCGGCGCCCTGGCTGCAACAAGTGGGGGCCTGCGGAGTCCAGCCTGAGCTACCTCTTTAGGAGGGCACCAACTATACACCAACACCGATCCTGGCCCAGGATCACCCTGGGCCCAGGATCGGTGTATACGCCCTCCTGCCTTGCGCAAGAAGGCATATACACCGATCCTGGGCCCAGGGTGATCCTGGGCCAGGATCGGTGTTGGTGTATAGTTGGTGCCCTCCGACTCTGGGGGCTGTCGGTGCCCAGCGACAGACGCCGCCTTCTTTTCAGTACGGGGTGACGTTCCTGGGGCCCGGCGAGGGCCCCTGGAGTCTGGAAGTAAAAAAACAAAAAAAACTTCAAACACTTCCGTCGTGACTGTGCAAGATGTGAGAGGTGTCCAGGCGCGCGGCCCTTCCGGAGGGCCGGAGCTGGTCCTTACTTCAGCGTCTTCACCGTAACAATGGGGACTCCCGATTTCGTAATAAAAGGGAGGGGGTATGGACCCTCCAAGACAAGCCATTTCAGACCTCCCCCGTGGGAGAACCCTCCAAAACATCGTCCCCAGGCCCCCCAGGGCCCTCCAAGATAGCTTGGAAGAGACCCCCCCCCGAAACGAGACCCCCCTCCCTTTATTACGAAATCTGGGGGACCTGCTGAGAACCCTCTGGAGCTGCCTCTCGGGGCTGTCGGTGCGCGCTCCCTGACACCGAGAGATTCCGGACTCGCCACTGCCCGACCTCTCCCGGGGTGCGTTCGGACAAGAACTTTTCGAAGCGAATTTCAGCCGTGACAGCGAGGGCCTCCAAGGAGGCCCCAGAGGGCGAAAACGAGGCAAGGGTAGTCCAGATTTCGTTATAAAGGGAGGGGGGTCTCATTTCGGGGGGGGTCTCCAGGCTATCTTGGAGGGCCTGGGAGGTCTGAAATGGCTTGTCTTGGATGGTCCAGACCCCCTCCCTTTTATTACGAAGTCTAAAGTAGCGGCATCGATCCCATTACCTCCTCTGACCTGGCTCCAATCACCTCAGGAGGCGTCTAGTTTTGCTCCCCCCCCCTGCTTCTCTTGGCGGGGAATCGACTCGTCCCTCCTCCTCCTGCTCCTCCTCCTGCTCCTCCTTCTCGTAGCCGTTGTCGTCGTCGTTGTTGAACGTGCGGCGGGTGCCGCGACGAAAGCATTACTGTCTTTCAGTAGGGGCCCCAGTCCGTCGAGAAGGTCGCCGAACAGGTCATCAGCTTCCATCTATTGGGGATTTCTCTAAAAACCTATATATTACCAATGAGCCTTGCCTTAAGTCGGGCATGTCCCCCTACAGGGGGATCTTGGGCGAACAATTAGAAAATACTACAAAAAGGCTCCCACAATGCTCAACAATAGTCTAAAAACCGTCCCCATACTATTTTCTGACTCTTTTTGAATATTCCTCCTGTAGAGGGACAGGCCCGACTTAAGCCTTGCCTTATGTTGTTCCCGTCCTACTTAAGGACCACATCCCAGAAATAATTTCGAGCACCCGGCAAAGCGTCAAAAGAGTGTCGAAACAGTGTCGAAACAGTGTCGGGCGAGTGTCTCCCAGGGCCCGACACGTGAAAACCCTTGAGTTTCGGTACTTTTTTTTGGCGCTCGAAATTCTGTCTGGTGATCAAGGCTAAGGTAGGTTGGAGCATCATAAGCCTTGCCATGCCCTTAACTGCCTCCAGCGACACGGGATCACGACCAGACGTGCGAGCTGCGGCCGCGCACCGCCAGTCGGCCAAAAACGGGAGCGCCCGGGAGCGCCCGGAGAGCTGCGGCTCACTCGGGCTTCTCGCCGCCGAGGTAGAGCCAGGTGGGGATGACCTCGGCGCCACGCCCCACGTGCACAAGGCTCGGGGAGCAAACAAATACTCCAAATGTTGTAACGCAAGGTAGGGGGTCACAACCCTCTTAGACGAGCAATTTTAGACCCCCCCCCAGGCCAGCCAGGAACAGGGAACAGGGAGCCAGGTGGGGATGACCTTGGCGCAACGCCCCACGTGCACAAGGCTCGGGGAGCAAACCAATACAGTGCGGGCGCGGCCGCAAGAAACCTCCGCAAGAAGCCTTACCCTCTGAAAGCCCGCGCGTGAGGCGAAAACCTGAGCGTCCTGAACGCAGCAGCTTCTGCAACGGTTGCGGGAAGTCACCGCGCAGCGCGCGGAGCGAAGAAACCTAGGAGACCCTGACGAAAAGCAGATGGTTTCTTGATGCGCGCCCCCACTGTACTCCAAATGTTGTAACGAAAGGTAGGGGGTCACAACCCTCTTGGACGAGCAGTTTTAGACCCCCCCCAGGCCAGCCAGGAACACGCAGCCTTTGCCCAGACTCCACTTGGACCCTCCAAGACAACTCCAATCAGGCATCCCCGCAAGTCAGACCACCTCCTTTATATAGGAACATAAAAAAACGGCATAACCACAAACATTTGGCGCTCCGCGCGGATTTGTTCGATCCGCGCTGGACCCTCCTCTCTCTACCGCGCGGTGCGCGCCAGGGGCGGCGCCGCCGGAGGCGCCGCCGGGGGGGGGACCCCGGCGCGGATCCAAGAGATCTGCGCGGAGCGCCCAAAACTTATGCTTATGGAATATTCGTCTTCGAAAATCAGCCCACCTCTGGAACTTATTTTCCTCTTCGAAAACTTATTGTTTATGGAATTTTCTTATTCGAACTTTCTTCTTCGAAAACTTACGTTTCTGGAACTGTCTTATGGGATTTTCTTCTTCATGGTGAAAGCTGGGGCCACATGGATACATGCACTTGCCGCGCGGGGCGCCAGAAGTCTATGGTTATGCCATCCCTTTTCCTCCTCGAGGAGAAGCGGGGCACCGGCTCCGGGGGGGGATCGCCCACTCGGACCCAGAGCCGGCGCGGCGCCCCCGGGGGCGCGCAGCAGGGTGCTGCGGGGCGGAGTGGCCACAGCCGGCCCGTACAAGCGGGGCGTTGCCCTACCGTCGGGGCGTTGACCTGAGGAACCCTAAATAAGGAACGAGGCCCCTTTTTTCCATAAGTTAGACTTCGATTTCCTGTCGAAAACATAAGGAAAGCCTGAGGCAAGCTGTGAAACACTCAAGGAACACGGAGCCCCTGCCCAACGAAAAGGGTTCCTTCTTCAGGGCCCCGACTGTAAGGAATGATTTAATAAGGAACGAAATCCATTTGCTCCCAACTAGGTCCATGAAGTCTGAAGGAACGCCGGGGGGGGGGCTCGCCACCAGAAAAGGGACAGAGCGCATGCACACCTGGGGAGCGGCCGAGCCCCTTTCGAGAAGTAAGCGGACCTGATTCGACGCCCCGAGTGTGTCAGAAGGATGCGCGATAGGGATGCACGTGCCTTGAGGGCCACTTCGAAGCTCTTCGAGCGCGGCGCGACCGACGAATGGCCAGGCATGGACCGAGGAGGCAGAGATGCAAACATACCCTTGGGAAGGTTGCCCATCCTCACTATGCGGGTGGACTCTGGGTACCTAAGCGAGATCGGGGGTGCGCAGGCAATGGAGGGAGGCAGAGAACAGAGACGTCGCCCCACTCTCGGCGGCGAGCGAGGGGGGGAATTGAGAAGGAGAAGGCCTTCTCAGAAGGCGGCGGGACTTCTCAGAAGCCCTCGCGCCCTTCTGGAAGGTTCTCTGCGTCTTCGGGGGGGGCTTAGAAAACGTCTTAGAGGGCCGGGGACTCTCCAGGCCTTCTGAGAAGGCCCGCCCTTTCGCACCCCCTGGGCTCGCCGCTGACATTCGCGGCCCCCGAGGAAGGCGCCCTGCGACAGCCCAGACCCTCCGCCAGGGAGTTCTCTGGGCGGCCGCCGGCAGGCGCTTCTCCGATCCGCCTGGGTGCCCCGATCCGCCGAGGTGCCGCAGCGAGGCCGAGCCCTCCGAACCCGAGTCGAGTTCTACCGGGACGCAGCTCGACACCCAGACCCATCGGTCGTGAGAAGTGGGTCGGAACATGCGCGTTGAGAGTAGATTGGGTTTACCCCCACCCCCCAAGGATGAAGGAAAAGGGGAAACGCTCGTTGATGAAACTAGGAAGACGCCTGAAGTAGGTTAGGACTTGGGAATCCCAAAAACCCTACTTTCAACGACCGACGGGTACCCCGCACCTCGTCCGACATAGTTTGTCCATGCTAGTTTTCTTTGGCGTCTATTTCTCAAGTTTGCGCCTGGAGGCCAGTGTCGGGCCGCGTGGGCGAAGTGAACCCCACCCTCCCCCTCAGAAAACATGGAGGGCAGGGGTCGGGTTCGCATGCGGCCCCCTGCATTCGCGGCATTCGCCGCGGGGCCCAGGATGACGCCGTGGGGGCGGCCGGTGCGGTGCTCGGGCGGACGGTGAGCGGGGCGGCCGACGGCACCCCCCTCTCGCCCCGGAAGCGGCGCCCTGCCTCTGCAGCGAGCCGTTTTTCCGCCCACGGCTCGGGGACCGGCTCCCCTCCTCCTCTGAGCCTCCAAGGTTAGAGGCCTCCTAGATGGGGTCGGAGGATCGCGCCGCATCGCCGAGACATCGCCGATGCATCGGCGATGCATCGGCGACGTCGGTGATGCACCGGCGACGCCGGCGTGGAGAAAATCGGGCTCCACATCGTGCCGCATCGCTGATGCATCGCCGATGCATCGGCGATGCGGCGCGATCCTCCGACCCCATCTGCTCGGACCCCCTCTAGGAGGCCTAGAAAGATGCAGTAGGGTTCACCTCACGCTGGAGTCTCCCCCTTTGGTTGGGCGAGCTTCAGCCACTGAGCTGGAGCGTACCACGGGTGACAAAAAAATGCGCGAAGCCGGCTTAAGCAGAGGGCGACCACATTGGGAAAGGCCAGCGCTGGAAATCGAACGGACAGGGCAAAAGAGACAAGCAAAATAAGCAGGGCCAAAGGCTCGAGGTATACGCTAGCCCCGCGGTGCTGGTGGGAGTGAGTCTGTTCCTCCTCCTCCTCCTCCTCCTCCTCCTCCTCCTGGTTCTTGGCTCCTGATGGCTACATGATCCTCAGACGGAGACGCACCCAGCTCAACCCCCGAGGGCTGAGCCGGTGTTGAAGGGTGGCGCACCAACCAAGAGGGCGGGCTTCCCCTGGAGGAGAGACCGACGGAAAGGGACGACGGGAGCGGGAGTGCAGCAGGCACGACGAGCAGAGGCGGAGGAAGAGCGGGGAGGAGCCCCGAGCAATCCAAAGAACCCGTCAGGCGCCCCCCCGAACCGAAACAGGGACAGAGGCACAGACGCGAGGCCTCCTCCTCCTCCTCTTCCTCCTCACTCCTCCTCACTCCTCACTCCTCCTCACTCCTCCTCACTCCTCCTCCTCACTCCTCCTCCTCTTCCTCCTCACTCCTCCTCACTCCTCCTCCTCCTCCTCCTCTCCTCCCTCACCACACCACCACCACCAACACCACTACTCCTCCTCCTCCCTCCTCCTTCCTCCTCCTCCTCCTCCTCCCTCCTCCTCCTCCTCCTCCTCTCATCCTCCTCCTCCTCCTCTCCTTCCTCCTCATCATCATCATCATCATCATCATCATCATCATCATCATCATCATTCATCCATCACATCATCACATCCATCACTATCACCATCCACCCACCATCACCTCCCCCACACATCACCATCACACTCCCCCTCCTCTCTCTCCTCCTCCTCCTCCTTCTCCTCCTCCTCCCTCCCTCCTCATCCTCTCCTCCTCCTCCCCACCACCACCACCACTCCTCTCCTCCTCTCTCCTCTCTCTTCCTCCTCCTCCTCCTCCTCCTCCTCCTCCTCCTCTCCTCCTCTCCTCCTCCTCTCCTCCTACCTCCTCCCTCTCTTCTCCTCCTCTCCTCCTCTCTCCTCCCTCATCTCATCATCATCATATCATCATCATCATCATCATCATCATTCATCATCATCATCATCATCATCCTCATCCTCCTCATCATCATCATCATCATTCATCATCATCATTCATCATTCATCATCATCATCATTCATCATCATCATCATCATCACCATCACCATCACCATCACATCACATCACATCCATCACTCCTCCTCCCCCTCCTCCTCCTCCTCCTCCTCCTCCTCCTCCTCCTCCTCCTCCTCCTCCTCCTCCTCCTCACTCCTCGTCTTCGTCCTCCTCTTCCTCCTCACCCCTCCTCCTCACTCCTCCTCCACACTCCTCCGCTGGAGTCTCCTCCTTTGGTTGGGCGAACTTCAGCCACTGAGCTGGAGCGCACCACGGGTGAAAAAAAATGCGCGAAGCCGGCTCAAGCAAAGGGCGACCACATTGGGACAGGCCAGCGCTGGAAATCGAACGGACGGGGCAAACGAGACAAGCAAGAGAAGCAGGGCCAAAGGCTCGAGGTATACGCTAGCCCCGCGGTGCTGGTGGGAGCGAGTCTGTTCCTCCTCCTCCTCCTCCACCTCCTCCTCCTGGTTCTTGGCTCCTGATGGCTACATGATCCTCAGACGGAGACGCACCCAGCCCAACCCCCGAGGGCTGTGCCAGTGTTGACAGGTGGCGCACCAACCAAGAGGGCGGGCTTCCCCTGGAGGAGAGACCGACGGAAAGGGACGACGGGAGCGGGAGTGCAGCAGGCACGACGAGCAGAGGCGGAGGGAGAGCGGGGAGAAGCCCCGAGCAATCCAAAGAACCCGTCGGGCGCCCCCCCGAACCGAAACAGGGAGAGAGGCACAGACGCGAGGCCTCCTCCTCCTCCTCCTCTTCCTCCTCTTTCCTCCTCACTCCTCACTCCTCTTCCTCCTCCTCACTCGTCGTCCTCCTCCTCCTCCTCCTCCTGCTCCTCCTCCTCCTCCTCATCCTCCTCCTCACTCCTCCTCACCACCACCACCCCTCCTCCTCACTCAC